AGAGGAGTCGCCAGACCAATAGACGTAAACAAGACAGACTGCCAGGAACAGCATTGGGAGATATCCTGGCCAGGGGAGAAGGCGCCAGTCTTACTCTGAGCAGACACACCATTTAAAAAAAAAAAAAAAAAAAAAGTATTTCTAGAAAAGTGGCCTAAGAATTCTGTTGTTTGGTTAAAATACTCTGGAAAGGGAAATGAGTAACAGACGAATTATTAGTTGTTGGACATATGCTTAAAACAGATTAGCATGTTTTTAGTTAGCTCCTGAAAATCCAGGGATAACAATTTAAACAAGTAACTGGTAACTGAGCAACATTACTACCAAAAAAGTAATAAAATAACCTTGAAGTGTGAACAAAAGTCTTACACTGCAATCTGCTGGATGGTAGCAAAATTACAGCAGAATTGCTTTGAACCAGCAAATGTATGGAAGTGTTCAAATTAATTATTGATCATCCCTCTTCTTTTTAAATTACTTTTGCATATAATGTATTAAAGAATCCTTGATAGAAATCATTATGTATTAAAGTTGACCAAATCTCTTTGCCAGGGAATAGAACCAAAAACACTCTGCTCCATAGTGGAAAATTTTTACACTCCACTATAAGTAATGACTCTTGCATGATTTTATAGTAATTAATTACAGAACAGTGACATTGATCAGAAATTAAGTTAATCATTTTCAGCGACTGAAAAAATATGCTGAATACTCAGTATACACAGGCTTGAGAGGCAGCATATTGTTGAGAAACCAGTGCCACTCGCACTTGTCATGACATGCTGCCAGTGGGTCCTAGTATGGATCAGCATTTTACATACTGGGTCATGACTAATAGGTATGGTTATTTGCTTGATAAAGATTTGGTAAATTTGGAGGGCAGGGCAGGATCGAAGTAATCTTCCCTTTATCTCTTAATTACCTGGTCTTTTTTTCTCCTCCTCTCCCCAATCTTGCTTTCCCGTGCCCTCATCACAATTGGCCAGGAGAAAAGTTCTGCTCCTCTCCTGCAGATTGTCCTTTTTGTGACTCCCAGATGCTCAGTGGGAACAATCAACACAAGCTCTTCACTGAATGTTGGCTAACCCAGGTTGTGAGCTGATTTAGGAAAATACTGTTGTGACATACAGCAGGGCTTCTTGTGCTCAGTATGCTGCCCTGCTTCTAAGTACCAAACAAAATTTCTGCTTAGAGACCCTCCCAGAACAAATACGAGATTGTTTCTTGAGCAATTAGCAAGTGAAGATTGCTATAAATAGCTGTCAGCATAACCCATTCAGAAACATTGAATTTGCTTTAAAAATGGTTAAAAACAGAGGAAGAAAGGAACTGTCATGCCAGATCAGACTAGTTGACCATCTAGTTTGATATCCTGACTGACAATGGCTAATATCACACACTTCAGAGAAAGGTGCAAGACTACTTATTAATGGATAAACACAAAACACTCTGCCCATAGGAGGGAAAGTGGTGGTTTTCCCTAACCTATTAGTGGTCATTTTATGCCCTAAAGCATAAGGGATGAAATGCCCCTAGTACATTTCTTCGGGCTGGTCCACACTAACCCCCCACTTCGAACTAAGATACGCAACTTCAGCTACGTGAATAACGTAGCTGAAGTCGAAGTACCTTAGTTCGAACTTACCGCGGGTCCAGACGCGGCAGGCAGGCTCCCCCGTCGACTGCGCGTACTCCTCTCGCAGAGCAGGAGTACCGGCGTCGACGGTGAGCACTTCCGGGATCGATCCAGGATCGATTTATCGCGTCTAGACAAGATGCGATAAATCGATCCCAGAAGATCGATTGCTTACCACCGGACCCGGAGGTAAGTATAGACGTACCCTAAGGCTATGTCTACACTAGCACTTTTGTCAGTAAAACTTATGTCACTCGGGTGTGAAAAAACACATCCCTGACCGACAGAAGCACTGGTGTGGACAGTGCTATGTCGGCAGGAGATGCTCTCCTATCGACATAGCTACTGCTGCTTGTTGGGGGTGATTTAATTATGTCGACAGGAGAGCTCTCTCCCGTCGGCATAGAACGGCTACATGGGATATCTTACAATGGCGCAGCTGCATCAGTACCACTGTAAGGTCTCTAGTGTAGACATAGCCCTAGAGAGACAAAATGGGTGAGGTAATCTCTTTTATTAGACCAACTTCTGCTGGTGAGAGAGATAAGCTTTTGAGCTCACACAAGATTTCTTCAAATCTGGGAAATGTACTCAGTGTCAAAGCTAAATTCAAGGGTCAGATTGTTTAGCACAAGTATTTAACACATCTCAAGGGACCATTCAAGGTGAAGTGGCCAGCTAACACCTCTCCAGTCAAAGGGGAAAAGGAGAGGAAAAAAAGCTGAGGGGAGCGGTTTACTGGGTTATAGGTTGTTATAAATCCAGTATCTTTATTCAGTCCATGATTTTTAGTGTCTAGCAAAGTTATGAATTTAAACTCCCAGACTTGTCTTTTAAAGGTGTTATGAAGATTTTCTTTAAGGATGAGGACCTCTGTCAGACCTCTGTGGAGAGTGTTCACCGACAGGTGATTTGGTGTTTTTGTCCTTTATCATTTTTCTATGTGAATTCATTTGAGAGCATAGTAATTGTCTGGTTTCAACCATATAGTTGTTATTGGGGCATTTAGTTCACTGGGTGAGGTATACCACATGTTGTGATAGACATGTGTAGAACCCACAGATCTTGAAAGGTGTGTTTGGGGAAAGAGGGGGAGTGTTGATCATCGTAGCAATGCAGCTACATCTACAGGTTTTGCATCTGTTGGCCCATTTCAAACAGTTGACAAGCAGGTGTGAGCTTAACGACTGGGAGTGGATGGGTCATTATAAAACCTAATTTCCTCCTACTGTTACTTACACCTTCTTGTCAACTGTTTGAAATGGGCCACTCTCATTACCACTACAAAAGTGATTTTTCCTCCCTTGGTATCCTACTGTTAATTGAATTATCTTGTTAGACTGACCTCCCACTTGGTAAGGCAACACCCATCTTTTCATGTACTGTGTATTTATACCTGCTACTGTATTTTCCACTCCATGCATCTGATGAAGTGGGTTCTAGCCCATGAAAGCTTATGCCCAAATAAATTTGTTAGTCTCTAAGGTGCCACAAGGACTCCTCATTGTTTTTGCTGATACAGACTAACACGGCTACAACTCTGAAACCTGCTTCAAAAGAATTGATCTGGGAAAGCCATGTCCCCAACATCCTCTGTCATTAAGCATAATGCAAACAGATCTACACACCCTGCTTGCACTGGTTTAAATTGCTGGAAATTTTTGATCAAAAGATACCTCACTTTCCCCTGGGTCACACCTTTGCTTTCTTGATGAATTAGACAACAATGAAAGAAGTCAGAATGGGACTTGCTCATAACAGCATACTAAAATTATTACATAGCAATATTCTTTCACTGGGCCTTTTTCTGAAATTTTCAGTGTCCACATTGACAGTGTTAATACACTTTCAAGGTAATTACAAATTCTTCCTATCCCCGTGAGTTTAGCCAAAAGTAGTTTCTCTAGTGATATGAACTCAACTGCATTTATGATTTTACTTATGGCTTTACACTGATTTAAACTGTTTTAGAGATTGTACATTTAAAGCTGTTTAATTCTTTTCTTATTGAAAAGTGATTAAGATTCTTTAGTGGCCAGATGGTATACAAATATTATTTATTATTATTTATACCATCAGGGGCTCGTTCACCTGCACATCTACCAATGTGATATATGCCATCATGTGCCAGCAATGCCCCTCTGCCATGTACATTGGCCAAACCGGACAGTCTCTACGCAAAAGAATTAATGGACACAAATCTGACATCAGGAATCATAATACTCAAAAACCAGTGGGAGAACACTTTAACCTGTCTGGCCATTCAATGACAGACCTGCGGGTGGCTATCTTACAACAGAAAAACTTCAAAAACAGACTCCAACCAGAGACTGCTGAGCTGGAATTGATATGCAAACTAGATACAATCAACTCAGGATTGAATAAGGACTGGGAATGGCTGAGCCATTACAAACATTGAATCTATCTCCCCTTGTAAGTATTCTCACACTTCTTATCAAACTGTCTGTACTGAGCTATCTTGATTATCACTTCAAAACTTTTTTTCTCTTACTTAATTGGCCTCTCAGAGTTGGTAAGACAACTCCCACCTGTTCATGCTCTCTGTATGTGTGTATATATATCTCCTCAATATATGTTCCACTCTATATGCATCCGAAGAAGTGGGCTGTAGCCCACGAAAGCTTATGCTCTAATAAATTTGTTAGTCTCTAAGGTGCCACAAATACTCCTGTTCTTTTTGCGGATACAGACTAACACGGCTGCTACTCTGAAACCTGAAATATTATTTATTACTATTAATACCAGACTCAATAAGTCACTAAGGAAACAAATACACCTCTATCTCGATATAACGCTGTCCTCGGGAGCCAAAATATCTTAGCACGTTATAGGTGAAACCGCGTTATATCGAACTTGCTTTGATCCGCCGGAGTGCGCAGCCCCGCCCCCCCCGGAGCACTGCTTTACCGCGTTATATCAGAATTCATATTATATCGGGGTAGAGGTGTACTCTTATCTCCAAAAGTATTATTACGCCATTTTACAGATCACAGGTACACCCTCACCTGTGGAACTTCTTGTCACAGATTATTATTGAGGTGAAGAGTTATC